CAATTTTCAACAAAGTTAGAGAAGAATTTATGTTTTATTCACGAATTTACAACTATAATAGGATAAAAACACGAAATTTAATTATTTCACGGCAAATATTAACGAAGAAAACTACTGGGATATATGGGGGCTAATTGATTACACTATTCAGAGAAAATTTCAACGAAAAAGACCAATTTTCAGGAAAGTTATTAACGAATTTGTAGTTGAATTAATATAAATGTATCGATCCACCACTATACCTCGGTTTAGGTAAGTGGCGAATTTCTCTAATTCCGCGTGTTTTATGTTACAGATTAGGGTGCAGATGGCAGTTTCTACACAGAACGGACCTAATAAGTGCAAAAAGAGCGAAAAAAACGAAGATTTAAAAAAGTTTAAAAATTTTATAAAATTACGACTATAAGAAACGGATTAATTGAAAATTTGTTATAAAACAATGAAAATTTTATGAAAAAAATACAGAGAATTACAGGGAGCAGTTAATTATACTATATTAAAAGAAAATATGAAGAGAAAAGATCAATTTTCAACAAAGTTAGAGAAGAATTTATGTTTTATTCACGAATTTACAACTATAATAGGATAAAAACACGAAATTTAATTATTTCACGGCAAATATTAACGAAGAAAACTACTGGGATATATGGGGGCTAATTGATTACACTATTCAGAGAAAATTTCAACGAAAAAGACCAATTTTCAGGAAAGTTATTAACGAATTTGTAGTTGAATTAATATAAATGTATCGATCCACCACTATACCTCGGTTTAGGTAAGTGGCGAATTTCTCTAATTCCGCGTGTTTTATGTTACAGATTAGGGTGCAGATGGCAGTTTCTACACAGAACGGACCTAATAAGTGCAAAAAGAGCGAAAAAAACGAAGATTTAAAAAAGTTTAAAAATTTTATAAAATTACGACTATAAGAAACGGATTAATTGAAAATTTGTTATAAAACAATGAAAATTTTATGAAAAAAATACAGAGAATTACAGGGAGCAGTTAATTATACTATATTAAAAGAAAATATGAAGAGAAAAGATCAATTTTCAACAAAGTTAGAGAAGAATTTATGTTTTATTCACGAATTTACAACTATAATAGGATAAAAACACGAAATTTAATTATTTCACGGCAAATATTAACGAAGAAAACTACTGGGATATATGGGGGCTAATTGATTACACTATTCAGAGAAAATTTCAACGAAAAAGACCAATTTTCAGGAAAGTTATTAACGAATTTGTAGTTGAATTAATATAAATGTATCGATCCACCACTATACCTCGGTTTAGGTAAGTGGCGAATTTCTCTAATTCCGCGTGTTTTATGTTACAGATTAGGGTGCAGATGGCAGTTTCTACACAGAACGGACCTAATAAGTGCAAAAAGAGCGAAAAAAACGAAGATTTAAAAAAGTTTAAAAATTTTATAAAATTACGACTATAAGAAACGGATTAATTGAAAATTTGTTATAAAACAATGAAAATTTTATGAAAAAAATACAGAGAATTACAGGGAGCAGTTAATTATACTATATTAAAAGAAAATATGAAGAGAAAAGATCAATTTTCAACAAAGTTAGAGAAGAATTTATGTTTTATTCACGAATTTACAACTATAATAGGATAAAAACACGAAATTTAATTATTTCACGGCAAATATTAACGAAGAAAACTACTGGGATATATGGGGGCTAATTGATTACACTATTCAGAGAAAATTTCAACGAAAAAGACCAATTTTCAGGAAAGTTATTAACGAATTTGTAGTTGAATTAATATAAATGTATCGATCCACCACTATACCTCGGTTTAGGTAAGTGGCGAATTTCTCTAATTCCGCGTGTTTTATGTTACAGATTAGGGTGCAGATGGCAGTTTCTACACAGAACGGACCTAATAAGTGCAAAAAGAGCGAAAAAAACGAAGATTTAAAAAAGTTTAAAAATTTTATAAAATTACGACTATAAGAAACGGATTAATTGAAAATTTGTTATAAAACAATGAAAATTTTATGAAAAAAATACAGAGAATTACAGGGAGCAGTTAATTATACTATATTAAAAGAAAATATGAAGAGAAAAGATCAATTTTCAACAAAGTTAGAGAAGAATTTATGTTTTATTCACGAATTTACAACTATAATAGGATAAAAACACGAAATTTAATTATTTCACGGCAAATATTAACGAAGAAAACTACTGGGATATATGGGGGCTAATTGATTACACTATTCAGAGAAAATTTCAACGAAAAAGACCAATTTTCAGGAAAGTTATTAACGAATTTGTAGTTGAATTAATATAAATGTATCGATCCACCACTATACCTCGGTTTAGGTAAGTGGCGAATTTCTCTAATTCCGCGTGTTTTATGTTACAGATTAGGGTGCAGATGGCAGTTTCTACACAGAACGGACCTAATAAGTGCAAAAAGAGCGAAAAAAACGAAGATTTAAAAAAGTTTAAAAATTTTATAAAATTACGACTATAAGAAACGGATTAATTGAAAATTTGTTATAAAACAATGAAAATTTTATGAAAAAAATACAGAGAATTACAGGGAGCAGTTAATTATACTATATTAAAAGAAAATATGAAGAGAAAAGATCAATTTTCAACAAAGTTAGAGAAGAATTTATGTTTTATTCACGAATTTACAACTATAATAGGATAAAAACACGAAATTTAATTATTTCACGGCAAATATTAACGAAGAAAACTACTGGGATATATGGGGGCTAATTGATTACACTATTCAGAGAAAATTTCAACGAAAAAGACCAATTTTCAGGAAAGTTATTAACGAATTTGTAGTTGAATTAATATAAATGTATCGATGGTTAGGTTAGGTTAGGTTAGGTTAGGTTAGGTTAGGTTAGGTTCCCCCCCGAACGGGTTCCCGCCTTGTCGTGGCGGGGGGGCTTAGTAGCCGTGGCTTGGTCACCCACGGTGAACGAAGAGGAACCCCTTGGCTGGCCCGTGGTGTAGGGCCGGCCCGAGGTGGCCACTCCGAGTGGGCTTGGGAAGCCCACTTCGGATGTGTGTCGGGGGGCTGCGGTGAGAGGGGAGTCCGCACCCTCTACCGCTGCAGCCGAGGTGGAGTCGCGGAGGAAGAGGAGTGTTGGTATGGCGATGCGCCACTCGCCCTATCCTCCGCGACTCAAACGGGGCCGCACCGTTGATGCGGTGGTGGTGGGGCCGCGGGGGGAGAGGAGTGTCGGTATTGCGAGGCGCCGCTCTCCCTACCCTCCGCGGCCGAAACTTGGTTGGCGGCGGAGCCCGAGACCAGATCCGCCGCTGGGGCCGGGAAGGCCGGTGCCACTGAGTGCTAGTTTTTCCTGGCCCCATGGCCTTCGCGCATTGGACACGGGGGCGTCCGTTGCGCATTAGAAATTGGAGGCCGAGGAGGAGGGCGCACCATGTGTTCTGGTGCGCCTTACCTGAGAAGGAGATGGGGGAGGAGTGTTCCTCTCCCGAGGAGGGGCCGTCATGGGGCGGCCAGCGCAGGTGGGGCCGCGGAAGTGTGCGAAAGCGTTCCCGTGGCCCTGCCAATATGCGACGAGGGTGGAACACCATGGGGTTTTAGTCGGTGCGAGTCCGACATAACCCGTCCTTGCCCCCGCGAGGCGGGTATGCGTAGGCATTTCCCCATGTAAAAAAAAAAAAAAAAAAAAAAAAAAAAAAAAAAAAAAAAAAAAAAAAAAAAAAAAAAAAAAAAAAAAAAAAGGTTAGGTTAGGTTAGGTTAGGTTAGGTTAGGTTAGGTTAGGTTAGGTTAGGTTAGGTTAGGTTAGGTTAGGTTAGGTTAGGTTAGGTTAGGTTAGGTTAGGTTAGGCCCGAGGTGGCCACTCCGAGTGGGCTTGGGAAGCCCACTTCGGATGTGTGTCGGGGGGCTGCGGTGAGAGGGGAGTCCGCACCCTCTACCGCTGCAGCCGAGGTGGAGTCGCGGAGGAAGAGGAGTGTTGGTATGGCGATGCGCCACTCGCCCTATCCTCCGCGACTCTGACGGGGCCGCACCGTTAATGATGCGGTGGTGGTGGGGCTGCGGGGGGAGAGGAGTGTCGGTATTGCGAGGCGCCGCTCTCCCTACCCTCCGCAGCCGAATCTCGGTTGGCGGCGGAGCCATAGACCAGATCCGCCGCTGGGGTCAGGAAGGCTGGTGCTTCTGAGTGCTAGTTTTTCCTGGCCCCATGGCCTTCGCGCATTGAACACGGGGGCGTCCGTTGCGCATATAAATTGGAGGCCGAGGAGGAGGGCGCGCCATGTGTTCTGGTGCGCCTTACCGGAGAAGGAGATGGGGGAGGAGTGGTCCTCTCCCGAGGAGGGGCCGCCATGGGGTGGCCGGCGCAGGTGGGGCCGCGGAAGTGTGCGAAAGCGTTCCCGTGGCCCTGCCAATATGCGACGAGTGTGGAACACCATGGGGTTTTAGTCGGTGCGAGTCCGACATAACCCGTCCTTGCCCCCGCGAGGCGGGTATGCGTAGGCATTTCCCCATGTAAAAAAAAAAAAAAAAAAGGTTAGGTTAGGTTAGGTTAGGTTAGGTTAGGTTAGGTTAGGTTAGGTTAGGTTAGGTTAGGTTAGGTTAGGTTAGGTTAGGTTAGGTTAGGTTTTTTTTTTTTTTTTTTTTTTTTTTTTTTTTTTTTAATGTGTTCACCGCTAAGGTGTCCTCCAACACAGGTCGGAGACTTTCCTCAACTATGTACGGGCTTCGACGACTTTTTTTTTCCAGCCCTTGCTCTGTTGGATGGTGGGGAAAATCGTAAGTGTTCTTACAGTTTCCTGTGTTTGTGTTTTTTATTTTTTTTTTTATATGTGTGGGTGATTCTTGTATGATTTGTTTTTTATTTTAGAGTGTATGTGCTACAATTTTTCTTATTTTAATTTCATTTTGAGTTTAACATTTCTTTCACACTATATTTATCTTTATTTTAAACATCTTTTTTTATGTTAGTATATTCTGAATATATAACACAGTATATATTATCGAAATACTTATTACCTAGTCTTATTTCTATTTATCGCTTCTTTTGCTATATCTATACAATATTCTATGAACTTATTTCTATGCCTTTTACATTCTAATAATACACATATATTTTCTACTTTGAGTTTAATATTTGTAATTATTTCTAATTTCAATCTTTTTTCAATGTTTTTAGGGCACTCTAATAATAAATGTTCCACAGTTTCTTCTTTTTCAGAGTCACAAATACATTCTGGAGAGTCTTTACACTTAAAACGGTTGAGATAGCTTGCAAACCCACCATGACCAGTAATTACCTGAACTATTATAGGGCTGAGGTCTAACTTTTGCAATAATCTGTACGCACGGTCTGCATCTGGTAAAAATATCTTTGTTACCGCGGCGGTGTTGCCTAATGTATAACGTTTGTTCCATTTTTCTACGCTGTCCAACCGGATCAGTTGCTTAATATATGAAATGGGACATCTGTCATAGTCAGGAGCAGTTTTTTTATATAAAGCAGCTTCCTTGGCTAACTGGTCGGCTCGCTCGTTGCCTATCACCCCCACATGTGCCCTGATCCAGAACAGGCGGATGGTATTGTCCTTTTCTTTAATGGAGTTTACATTTTCCTTTATAGCCATTACTAGGGGGTGATATGAGTCACGATTTCGAATAAGTTCTAGGGCTGACCGTGAATCACTGAATACGTTGGTTGTGATCGTGTTATGTTGCAATGCAATTTTCGTTGCCTGGTAAATAGCAAATAATTCAGCCTGAAAGACCGTACAGAACGGTTCCAACTTAAACTTTTTGGTTTTAGTCTCAACGTCATTATTCCAACAGGATAATGCTGCTCCGACTTTACCGTCAATTTTGCTTCCGTCTGTATAAATTTGCTCTCCTTTGATGTTAAGATTCTTTAAAGTTTCGGGCTCCATATCTTCCAGGTATTCAAATGATATCTCTACTTCCCTTGCCGGATGTTCTGCCTTTAGGAATGAGATTCTACCTTCAATCTCCCTATAGCCAATTTTTTCCTGAGGTTTACCCCTCTTTGCTTCATAAAGAGAGGCTGCTTCTTGAACCCGAAGATCTAGAGGAAGCAATCTTGCTAGGATCAGTGCTGCATTTAGGGAGACTGTCCGATAGGTTTTGCACATTTTTTGTGCGAATCCTCTCTGAATCACATTTAACTGCTTCTGGATGTTGATTTTTTCTGCTGCTGTAGCCCACGCACTAGCCGCGTACAGGATTATTGGTTCTATTACAGCCACGTATATTGTCCTGATAATCGCCGGGTTCAAGCCCCACTCAATTTTGGCTGCTCTTGAGAGTTGTTTGTATATATTGGCAGCTTTCCGACATATTGTGAGTACGTGCTTGTGGAAGGTTAGCTTCCTGTCGATAGTAAGTCCAAGTATTTTCTGTTCTTCTACTAGTCTTATGTCAGTTCCTCCCATATGCATATGTGGAGTATCATATTTGAGTTTCTTGGTTATAACCATTGCGTTTGTCTTGTGAGGCGCAAATCGAAGTTTGTTTCTGACTCCCCACTCATGCACATATGCCAGGGTATTGTTGGCTTGTTCCTGAATTATTGAGGCTGTTTCTCCGGAGAATATCAGGACAATATCGTCAGCAAATGCTTGACAGTATACCCCCCTCCTCTCCAGACCATCCAACAGGGGATCCAATAACAGATTCCAAAATGTGGGCCCCCCGATTGAGCCTTGGACGCATCCTTTCGACATATTTTTGGTGTGTTCAGCTCCTGCATACGCCACACAGACCAATCTATCTTCTAAATAACTTTCTACGATATTTCGTAGATTTAGCGGACAGCATTTCTCTGCTAGCCGACAACGAATTGCCGGCCACCAGGCGCTATCAAACGCTCCTTCTATATCAAGCGATACTACGACGTTTATAAGTTTCTTCTTTAAATTGTGTTTTATATGTTGAAGTAAGTCATACAAGGAGTCCTCTGTACTGCGCTGTGGGATGAAACCGTATTGTCTGGGGTTGGATTTTGGTAAAAGGTGCCACCTAATTCTCCTTATCAACATTTTTTCGAGCACTTTGCCCAATATTGACAATAGTCCGATTGGTCTGTAGGACTTTGGGGTCGAATAGTCGTCCTTTCCTGGTTTCCTCAGAACTATTACCCTTGCTTCCTTCCATGGTACGGGGAAGTGTGACAGGTGGAGGCATTTGTTAACTATATTTAAAAAGATATCAGGGTCCTGGGATATTGCCACTGAGCAGATGTCTGCAGTAAAGCCATCTGGGCCAGGCGCTTTCTTAGGGTTTAAGCTGTTTACTACGTAGTTTAACTCCGCTATTGTGAATGGTGGGTCTATCTCATAGGTTTCTGGGAGTTCTTCTTTGTTTGCGGATCTTCTCGTTTGCTGATGATCTGCATTATCTTCTTCTTCCCTATCTTCGGGAAAGAATGTATCCGCAAGCCACTTTACTGACTCTTCCGCGCTCATGTCTATTTCATTCCTCACAAGTGGTTGGTCTTCATATTTTTTCGAAGTTTTAGCTATAACCCTATAGATACTGTCCCACATACTTTCCCGGTCTTGTTTTATACAAAAGTTCTTCCAACTCTCTGTTTGGGCTTTCTTCGCTTCTTCTTCGTATTTTGCTTTTGCTTCTAGGAACTCGCTTACTACCCATCCTCTGCGACTCGGTGCAGCGCATTGTATCCTTCTCTTTTTTGTGTTCATTTCTCTTTTTAGTATTTCTAGTTCTTTGTTCCACCATGTGATTTTTGGTTTAATTTTATGTTTAATTAACGGTATTGTCTTCTCACATGTCTGTCTTATACTGTCTATGTACTTTGATATTGTCAATTCTAATATTTCTTTGGTTGTAATGTTACTTATCTCGTTTTTGTCTATATTTCTTACTTTTAGCTGTCTTACTAATTCGTCTCTAAAAGCATGCCAATTTGCTTTTTTTGTGTTAAAGATTCTCGTCGTATTCCTCTGTCTATCCTGTGTTGGCATTTTGACTTTAATATTGAAAACAATTGCGTTGTGATCGGAACTAGTAATAGTTTTGTCCACTCTCCAGTCGCTTACTGCACCGTGAAGTTCTTTGCGGCCCTACACAGCTGACGATATAAGTTCTGTACCTTACAACACACATTTTTGACATGCGCGTTGAAGGTCAGCCCATCATCAACTGTGAGGCCGAGTATTTTTATTTCTTTAGACAGACCTATGCTTTCCCCGCCCATCTTCAGAAGTGGTGAGTCATATTTGATCTTGTTGGTGATGATCATGGCTTTCGTTTTCTGTGGAGCAAATTTAAGCTTGTTTTTGACTCCCCACCTCCGAACATGTGCGAGGGCCGCATTGGCCCGTTCCTGCACTTCCAGTGCTTTGTCTCCAGAGAAGATCAGGACCACATCATCTGCGAAGGCCTGACAGTGTTCCCCTTTATTATTCAACTCTTGCAGTAGTGGATCAAGTAATAGGTTCCAAAAGATTGGACCGCCTATTGAGCCCTGCACGCACCCTTTTGAGGTCTTCTTGACCCATTCTGCCCCAGAATACTTGACGCAGACTGACCTATCCTCAAAATAGCTGTCAATCAGCCGCCTCAAGTTTATCGGGCATTCGGTCTTTGCAAGTGCACATCGTACCGCTGGCCACCAAGCGTTGTCAAAGGCTCCCTCTATGTCAAGTGATACAAGTAAAACCAGTTTTTTATTTTTAATCTTAGCCTTTATATACTGCATCATGTCATAGAGGGAGTCCTCCGTGCTACGCTGCGGCATGAAGCCGTACTGGTTTTTGCTTATCTTAGGTACGATGTGCCACTTGATTCGTCGTATAGTCATTTTTTCAAAAATTTTCCCTAGTACAGGCAAAAGCCCAATCGGCCTGTAAGATTTAGGGTGCGTGTAGTCCTCTTTACCGGGTTTTCGTAGTACCACTACCGCCGCCTCCTTCCATTTACCGGGGAAATGCGCAAGTTCAAGACATTTGTTTGCTACTGCCAAGAACAGTGTCGGGTTCTGGTTAATGGCCGCTGCGCAGATATCAGCTGTGAGACCATCGTTTCCGGGAGCTTTCTTAGGATTAAGACTGGACGCGGCCCACAGAAGCTCTTCCTCTGTAAAGGGTGGATCACTTGAATCATCAAGTGACCCTTCGTTCACTGCTTCTGCTGCTTTTCTTATTAGCCTGTGTTCCGCGTCGTCATCCTGGTCTTTGTCCTCCGGATAGAAAGTCTCCGCTAGAACTCTCGCTGAATCTACGTTTCCCAAGGTCTTTCCTTCCCACACAAGGGGGACGTCCTCTTGTCTTTGAGTTGTTCGGCCTATCACCCTATATATCCCGTCCCACATTGTTTCCTTCTCCTGTTTACTGCAGAAATTCTTCCAGCTGGCGGTTTGTGTGTTTTTAACTAGTTGTTTGTATTCTTCTTTAGTTCTAATATACTGCTCGACGACCCACTCTCGACGGACTGGTGCTGCACAGGAAATTCGGCGTTTCAACTTGGAGACCTCCTTTTTCCTTTGAGTCAACTCGTCGGTCCACCAAGGCAATCTCGTTTGTTTTTTATTTTTAATTTTGGGTATACTATGTTCGCAAACGTCAATTATTGTTTGTGTGATTTCTTCTATTTTTGCTTCTAAATCTTTTTTATTTTCTATTTTATTAATTTGTATGCTATTTATTTGCTTCTCTTGCCAAATATGGGTGAGTTTCTTATGAAACTCACTCCAATTTGCTTTTCTGGTATTAAATTTTCTTGTTGTTCTCTTTATATCGGTGGTTATGGATCTTTCTAAATTTATATCAAACAAGATTGCCCTGTGGTCCGAACTAGTTACTTCATCTGATAGTCTCCAGTTGTCTATCCGTCCAAGCAGGTTCGTCGAGCAGGTTGTTATGTCCACACAGCTGGAGAATCTCTTTCCACCCCTGATGGTGTCGAATGTGGGCTCCGTCCCTCTATTAAGAATGTGGAACTCCATTTCGTCGAACTTGGCAGCTACCTCAATGCCCCTCTTGTCAACCTCCCGGCTTCCCCACCACGTATTCCAAGCGTTTACGTCGCCACCGATTATCACGTTCCCGGTTTTTAGGCCCGCCACGGCTGCTCCAATCATGTCCAGGTATGGCTCTAGTAATTTGTCACCCTCCAGGTAGACAGACACCACGCCCAACTCCCATGCTCCTGTCCTCAGTTTAGCAACTGCGATGTTCTCAGTTGTGAGGTTCGGGCACTGGGTTATGGCTATGGTGTCGTCAAATAGTACAATGGCCGCCTTTATCACTTTTTCGGTGTTTGGGCTTCGGTTACATTGTACTATTCTTGTCCCTGGATGGCGCTTCATTTCCCCAATCCGTCCAATATAGGGCTCCTGGACCAAGGCAAACGATGCCTTGTTTTTGGTTGCCTCTATAATTAGTTCAGCCGTGGCAAGCTCACTCCTTTGTAGGTTAGCCTGGATCACGTGATATCGGTGGTTGCTTGGGGTTATGTTACTGTTTGGCGTGGAGACAATCTTAACAGTACGCGACTGTAGACCTCGCTAGAATCTCCCATCTTCTTCTAACGGGGCAGTCTGCACTAAAGGCATTGTGCTCTTTATTTTCTATTTTCGCCTTGAGACAATTTCTGCATGACGGCGTTTCTCCTGAAAGCCAGTCAGCACATTGCGATTTCAAGTGTGGGCCTCCGCAGTGGCTACAGACCTCTGTCGTGCCACTGCATAGGCGCTTACTGTGTCCATAGGCCAGACACCGCGAACATTGCACAAGAGGGGACTGATCCTCTACCCTTATTCGCTGGAGGTCCACATGGATCCACCCAGCATTTGTGAGGTGGTTCCATATCTGGGGCGAGACTCTGATGACAATGTGGGCGGTGTGCGGGTTTCTAGATTTCTTCCTATACTTTATCTCCATTCTATTGTCTCTTTCGTTTATATTTTGAAAGAGCTGTTTATTTTGTGTTTTAACTGCCTTGATTATTTCTTCGTCCGAATTGTACTGTAATACATCCTTTAATATAATTAATGGATCTTTGTTTTTAATATCATCGACATTTAAATTTTGACTCGTGTTTTTTATTCTTTCTTTCACCCTATTTATTTCTTCTTGTGTGCTACATCCCAATATTACTTTTCTGTCCCTTGCTTTCCTAATTTTATCTATTTTTAAGCCTTCCTCTTTGGCGTTTATTGCAGTTCTTACTCTGTCCATTACTTCCTCTCCTGTGTCTTTCTCGTCAGTTGATGTAATGACTACAGAGTGCATTGCCGTGTTTTGTTGTGGCAGTCTCCTTGGTGGTCCAGCCAATACACTCGCATATGTCCATTTCTCTTCATTGATTTCTTTCTTCTTCATTTCTTCTCTTAATCTCTCCATCTCATTTTTATTCTCTTCCAGGAGTTTCCCATGCTCCTCCAACTTCTTGATTAGTTTGTTATGTTCTTCTAATTTTCTCTTCTCAAAATCTTCTTCTAATTTGTCTGCTTTTTTCTCCTGCTCTTTTGTTTTTCTTTCTTTTTCTGTGCCTTTGCCTGTCTCTGCCTCTTTGACCAGTTGATACAGTCTATCTATTGCTTGCGTGACTTCGGTCTTTATGTCAGTCCTCAGATTCCGCGAGTTGCTGAGGTGCAATTTCGCTTTGTTGAGACAGGCTCTAGCTTCAGTTATACGGTCCGCGTATTTTATTGTGTCCATTTTAGGCGAATTTTCCGTAGGTTCCACCAAAACTCTACGGGTTGCCCCTTTTGACTCCTGGGATGGTACTGTCTTTGGTTTTTGGCGTGCCACCGGGACCACCTTTTTGGGGGAAGGCTGAATTCCTGCTTCAGCGTCCACTTTACCTGCCTCCCACTCCCCAATGCTTCTCCTCACACTGGAGGCCTGCGTCGTTTTATTATTTTTGGGAGAAAGCTCTTTCTCCTCTGTCCCAATTGGAGAGCCTTGGGGGCCCATGTCCTTAGAACTATCCTCGGTCTTTTTGGTAGGAGTGCGGAAGCCGAACATATTCAGGGGAACGCGTCCTTAGGTTACAACAATAATAAAATGAAATAATAAAATAAAAATAAAAATAAAAAATGTTAAAAAATAAAATTTTAAGATTAATAAAATTTAAAGGTTTGTATAAGTTGTAAAAAGTTTTTTAGAACAGCTTGACACAGCTATAGTGGGCTCGTACCTGGTATCAGCTAAATAAGATACTATAATCACGCGACTCTATGTTTCTCTATGTAGAGTTCCACTCTATTTTTACCATTTATACCCTTTACTTAACTGTCACACTCTATTCCCCTATTTATTTATAATTTTTTAGGAATATTATAATTATTCCTATAAGTCTATTAGACTCTATGTAGAGTCGGTATGTCAGCCTATTAATTTATAATTAATTTGGTTGTCCAAATTTCCGCTAACCAAATACTCTACCTAGAGTTGTCTCTATTATCTAACTTAAAAGTAACAATTAATTAACTCTACAGCTGGTCACACTTAAGATCTAATTATTTACACTAAATATATATATATATACAATATAAAATAAAAAATAAAAAATTTAAAAATAAAAAATAAAAGTTTTATAATTAAAAAATTTTTTGATGTCTCTATGTAGAGTCTATATGCTTATAAATTTAAAGTTCTACAAATTTAGAAATTTTTACAAAAAACCCCGTTCAAATTGGCCCACCGGTTGTTGTGTTATAGGTGTTTAAAGTTTTTCATCCCCCAGAGACTAAGTCGAAAAGTCAACTTAGGGGTAGGGGGTTGAAAATCAGCCAAAATGATGCGGTGGGTGGCGAAGACTATCCCTTAGGTGGATAGTGTGGGGGGGGGGGGTGACGGGGGGGGGGGGGGGGGGTGACGGGGGGGGGGGGGGGGTGACGGGGGGGGGGCCCCGAAAAAATCGTCAAAATTGAGCTAGGACGCACCGTTTTCCTGAAAACTGAAAACACAGTTATCGTGCAGTTTTCAGGGACTCCCAGCTCACACAAATAAATTTATATCTTAAAAATGGCTAGTCCGAAAATTCTGAAAAAATTTGTGTATATAGAGCGTTAAATGCTCTTTAATAATATATTATTTGGAAATTTGGTGTCCTGAAAAATTTTTTGGTTTTTAAATTTTGAAATTATGATTAGTAAAACCAAAAACCGCAAAAAGGCTCTAAATCGTGTAATTATGTCGGGACAATTTTGAAAAAATTTTGGAATATAATATGTATGCTAACAAAAATTTTAACACTATTTTCAGGATTGTCCCGACAATCCTTCAGCCACCACGTGTTTATACCAAAATTTTGAAAAATGTCTTAATAATACTATTTGCACTCCGATTTTAAAGTTTTTTATGTCTATTGTTAGGTCTCTAATTCTACTTTCACATAAGGTCTATAACTACATAGGTCATCACTGAAGATTTCAAGATATTCACCTTTGAGTCTCCCGCCTGAAAAACGGTATCTTCAAAGCGTGATATCTCCGTTGTTTGTTATCCAATTTTTGTGATCGAGGTGTCGGACGCTTTGCCTCGATGTCCTCTTCCGATGGGTGATGTCAGAATTAGCCGCACGGCATCCAATCCAAAAACACGTGGCCACGTGTTTTTGGGTTTCCGAAAATATTTCGGTGCGCGGACGTCGAAAAAATCCGGTGATGAGCCAAGACGTTTAAGCTCGTCAGGGCGCTTCTTTTAACATAATAAAAACTATATGTCGTCGATCGTTTTCGAGCTACGTTTAACTTAGAAGTTTTTTGGGGTTATAAAAACCAGTTTTTCTGTAATAACTTTTTTGTTTTTACACTTTTTTCACTTCTGCTTTCACCACTGTGTTTGTCTCAATGAGACGCATCTAACGATATATAACACTTCTAATTTCGTACACTTTGATCCGACACTTTGATTTTTCGAACGCGGAGCGATACAAAAATGCTGCGTACGGCACGGCGTTTGGAGTGCAACTGGTTAGGTTAGGTTAGGTTAGGTTCCCCCCCGAACGGGTTCCCGCCTTGTCGTGGCGGGGGGGCTTAGTAGCCGTGGCTTGGTCAACCACGGTGAACGAAGAGGAACCCCTTGGCTGGCCCGAGGTGTAGGGCCGGCCCGAGGTGGCCACTCCGAGTGGGCTTGGGAAGCCCACTTCGGATGTGTGTCGGGGGGCTGTGGTGAGAGGGGAGTCCGCAACCCTCTACCGCTGCAGCCGAGGTGGAGTCGCGGAGGAAGAGGAGTGTTGGTATGGCGATGCGCCACTCGCCCTATCCTCCGCGACTCAGACGGGGCCGCACCGTTGAATGATGCGGTGGTGGTGGGGCTGCGGGGGGAGAGGAGTGTCGGTATTGCGAGGCGCCGCTCTCCCTACCCTCCGCAGCCGAATCTTGGTTGGCGGCGGAGCCATAGACCAGATCCGCCGCTGGGGTCGGGAAGGCTGGTGCTTCTTAGTGCTAGTTTTTCCTGGCCCCATGGCCTTCGCGCATCGGACACGGGGGCGTCTGTTGCGCATATGAAATTGGAGGCCGAGGAGGAGGGCGCGCCATGTGTTCTGGTGCGCCTTACCGGAGAAGGAGATGGGGGAGGAGTGGTCCTCTCCCGAGGAGGGGCCGCCATGGGGTGGCCGGCGCAGGTGGGGCCGCGGAAGTGTGCGAAAGCGTTCCCGTGGCCCTGCCAATATGCGACGAGGGTGGAACACCATGGGGTTTTAGTCGGTGCGAGTCCGACATAACCCGTCCTTGCCCCCGCGAGGCGGGTATGCGTAGGCATTTCCCCATGTAAAAAAAAAAAAAAAAGGTTAGGTTAGGTTAGGTTAGGTTCCCCCCCGAACGGGTTCCCGCCTTGTCGTGGCGGGGGGGCTTAGTAGCCGTGGCTTGGTCAACCGCGGTGAACGAAGAGGAACCCCTTGGCTGGCCCGAGGTGTAGGGCCGGCCCGAGGTGACCACTCCGAGTGGGCTGGGGAAGCCCACTTCGGATGTGTGTTGGTGGGCTGCGGTGAGAGGGGGGTCCGCACCCTCTACCGCTGCAGCGAGGTGGAGTCGCGGAGGAAGAGGAGTGTTGGTATGGCGATGCGCCACTCGCCCTATCCTCCGCGACTCAGACGGGGCCGCACCGTTAATTGATGCGGTGGTGGTGGGGCTGCGGGGGGAGAGGAGTGTCGGTATCGCGAGGCGCCGCTCTCCCTACCCTCCGCAGCCGAATCTTGGTTGGCGGCGGAGCCATAGACCAGATCCGCCGCTGGGGTCGGGAAAGCGGGCGCTAATAAGCGCTCGATTTTCCTGGCCCCATGGCCTCTGCGTATCGGACTCGGGGGGGTCCGATACGCAGGTGGAGTTGGAGGCTGTGGAGGGGGGTAGCTGAACAC